GCCAGATCAAAAAGGACTGCCCTAATGCACTTGGCCAAGTGACAGAGCAAAGAAGAAAACAAGTTACTTGCAAATCATGGAGGGCGGCCAGTAACCTCCCAGCTGCACTCAGACTGGGCTGCCCACCCTGACCACTGTCTTTCCGGAGGGGGAGGGGCTTGAAGAGCCTCAGTCCACAGCTGCAGCTGCTCAGAAGAGCCCCGGTGAGGGAGGAGGCAGGAGCAGGAGGCCTGGAAAAGGATTAAGGGATGGTAAAAAGCCTATATGCAGATCAAGAAATTAAGTTCCACATAAAGTGAGATCCACCAGAACAGATAATCACATTTCAGAGGGCCGAAAGTGGCAAAAAGCAAGCCCTCTTGCCCATAGGAAGTATCCTAGCACCATAAAAGGGATTTCTCCAGAGCTTCAAAAAAACTGGAAAACCCCTTTTAACCAAACCCAAGAGGGGGGCCAAATGGAATGCATCTGAATGCAGAACCTGGACACAGCTGGTCTGAGGCACTGGCACTGCAGAAATGTTGCCTCTAGAGGGGCCCATGTTGGCAACCTGCAGGTCCATCGTGGAAGTAGAGAGAAGTAGGGGAAGTAGATACAAAAGAAATAAAAGAAGTTCTTGAAAAGCATTTCACTTTCCAGCAAAGGTTGCACTGAAATACCTGTTAGCCTTTCTTCCAGCTGATAAGTTTTCAAAGTAGCTTATATCTGATTTTTAAAATAATATTAAACAAAACAAAAAAAGAAAAAATTAGGGCTCACATGGATAAAACAGTCAGCAGCCACTTGAAAAGAAAAAGACAGTTCCCAAATTACTACCTACAGAACAAGGCACTTCAAAGCTGGTGCCCAGAGAGTAATAGACCTTGGCAAGCATGTTTGTTCCACCGTGAGGATGCCATTACAATAAAAAGTTCATCCTTTTACAGTGGTGCTTAAAAGTTTGTGAACCCATTTGAATTTTCAATATGTCTGCATAAATATGACCTGAAATCTGTTTTCCACATGTCCTAAAATTAGATAAAGAGAACCCAATTAAACAAATGAATTAAAAACATTATACATGTTCATTTATTCATTGAGGAAAATGATCCAAAGCTACATATTTGTTTGTGGCAAAAGTATGTGAGTCTCTAGGATTATCATTCATTTGAAGGGGAAATTAGAGTTAGGTGTTTCAATCAATGGGATGATAATCAGTTGTGACCATGGGAGGCCCTGCCTTATTTAAAGAACAGAATTCTGGGTATTCACTATCAAAGTCTGATCTTCACAACACAGGTATGTGGAAGTATGTCATGGCTCAAACCAAGGAAATTTTTGAGGACCTCTGAAAAACAATTGTTGATGCTCACCAGGCTGGAAAAGGTTACAAAACTATTTCTGAAGACTTTGGAGAACACCAGACCACCGTCAAGCAGACCGTGTACAAATGGAGGCAATTCAACACCATCGTTACCCTCCCCAGGAGTGATCGACCAACCAAGATCACACCAAGAACAAGGCATGTAATACACCGGGAGGTCTCAAAGAATCCCAGATAACATCTAAAGGCCTCTCTTGCATTGGCGAATGCCAGTGTTGATGAGACCACCATCAGGAGAACACTGAACAACAATGGTGTGCATGGCAGGGTTGCAAGGAGAAAGCCATCACTCTCCCAAAAAACATTGCTGCCCATCTAGTACACTTTGCAAAAAACCGTGTGGATAAGCCAGAAGGCTATTGGAAGAATATTCTGTGGACATATGAATCCAAGACAGAACTTTTTGGCTTGAATGAAAACCATTGTTTGGTGAAAGGCAGACATTACATTCCAGCATAAAAACCTTATCCCATCTGTGAAACATGGTGGTGGCATTATTATGGTTTGGGCCTGTTTTGCTGCCTCTGGACCAGGATTGCTTGCCATCATTGATGGAACTATGAATTCTGAATTGTACCAGCAAATTCTATAGGAAAATGTTAAAGTATCTGTCCATGAACTGAAGCTCAAGAGAAACTCATGCAGGAAGACGAGCCAAAACACACAAGTCATACGACTAAAGAATGGAAGAAAATTAATGTTTTGGAACGACCAAGTCAAAGTCCTGACCTTAATAGTATAGAAATGTTGCGGAAGGACCTGAAGAAGGCAGTTCATGCGAGGAAGGCCAACAACATCCCTGAGCTGAAGCTGTTCTGTAAGAAGGAATGGACTAAAATTCCTCCAAGCTGATGTGCAGGACTCATAAAGAGTTATCAGAAACGTTTAATTGCAGTTATTGCTGTCCAAGGGGGGCACACCAGATTATTTATTTATTTATTCAATTTATATAGCTTTCAATTACTGAAAGCAAAGGTTCACATTCAAATATGTATCTTTGAATCATTTATCTTAATGAATAAATGAACAATTATAATGTTTTTGACTCATTTGTTTAACTGGGTTCTCTATCTAGTTTTAGGACATGGGTGGACTGAATCATGTTTTAGGTCATATTTCTGCGGTAATATTGAATATTGAATGTATTGAAAATTCAAAAGGATTCACAAACGTTTAAGCACCACTGTAAGCCCCAAACCATAGAGTGGAATATCACGGGATGATTCCATCAGACAGAGAGCTGGTTCTGGAAATAAGTCTGGAGTTACTGGCCTGAAAGTTTTTTTACTAACCAGCTTTTTACATGGAAGAGGAGCTGGCAGAGGAGGGAGGGAAGACTGAAGAAGAAGCTGATGATCTGACAGCTCAATTCTGAATGCTTTTCAAAAGCAGCCCAACGTCTAATGGATTACCAAAATCTCACCTGGAGGCAGGTAATTATGGCAAGATCAAGCCATATTCTTCCCTCCTTGCCATGAGGTAGAAACTGCAGGTTTACCAATTCAAGTTGGTATGAAAGGAGCTTGACATCCACAGGGGCTCCATCTGGACCTGCATGCTGATCCTTCGGTGAGAGATGGACATCCCTAGTCCAATAGGCCATCTCTAGGATCAATGGCACCACCTACCATCTTCTCCTGACAGAGTTCTTAATCAGACAAAGCACCATGGTGCTTTCAGTGTTGGGTAAATGCAACACCATGATTGTGGAACAACTATATATGTGTTAGTTGAATACACAATGGCTGTGTTCACATGGTCATTTTAAGTGGCAGCTGTGTTTGCACAAGATGCTAAAGTTAGTTTTACCCTTTGTTAGTATGTTTGTGGCTTAGTAATGTATGTATATGAGCTTTGTCTTTTGGGTTAATTTATGATCTTGTATTGTGTGACTCCAGAAAATGGTTTAATTCAGGAACCAGGTTAACTGTGTGGTGTGTACACAGCCAAGAACAATTTAGAATGACAGAAGATGACTCAGATTAGCTTTCCCTAACCGGTCCTTCAGATCCATGGTGTGCAAGACCCAGAAGTAATTGTAGAGGAGTCAGCGTGGGAACATTTGCTGTGCCCTGGAAGGCAATGGGGTTAAGCCAAAGCTCCTAACACTATGTGCCAATCCAAGAGCTCTCACTTTCTGCAGTGTGGTGGGCAGGCTGATGTGGGTTGAGGGCAGTGGGTACAGGCTAGATTTCCTTCAGCAAAACTGAGCAGCCTGTGGGTTCTTCCCATGTCTTCTGAAGCCTCCAAGGAAGCAAGCAGTTAACAGAAAGTAAACATGTTGTATCTGACCATACTTGTTATCTTGGATTATTTCTTAACAGCACATGTTAATCTAAGTTTCCTGCTGCTGAGATGCTAAAATGTCTTTTGGAAGGATCATGTGGTTGCCTTCAATGGGTGGGGTGTGGGGACTAAATGCATTCTTTCACCCCACTCAAAGGTGACCACATTCTGCCATTTACAGTTTCTGCTGCAACATGCTTGCCTCCGATCTAAAACACAAAGCCAGCACTCGTCTCCATTGCCTCACATTTACTGGGATTGAAAGGCCCAAGTTTTAATTAAGAAGCCTTATGTATTTAACCTCAGGGTGCCATTTATGGTGGTTTTAACTGCAAACCTTAGTAGGAGCAAATTGAGTGTCCTGAGTTAAATAGATGGCTGGCTAATATTTTAAAAGATCTTCTCAAAAAAGTAGTTAATGGAGTCAGCGTTGCAATGCTTAAGGTCCTGGAATAGGGCTGGGGAGACTCTGGTTCACCTCATCTTAGAAAGCATATCTTTAAGATGGCTGATGAGAGGTTAAATCTCAGCTTCTGGGAAGCTTAACTGTGGGGTGGAGTGAGTGCAACCATGAAGGCTGCCCATGAATCCTGCTCCTAGGACATGCACAGCCTTCAACCACAGTCTATTGCTTTGAGGTTGGGAAGAGAAGATACAACCACAGATTAAAACATGGCAGCACCTCAGGGCACAGATAAACCTAAATATCCCTACTAACCATAAAGAGAAAGAGCATTTCTGATCTGTGCCTGAGCTCTGCCTGACATGTGTAAAGAAGCAAAGGCATCAGCTGTATTCAGTGGCAGTGTTAAAAAAAACTTTGCTCAAGGATTCCCACCCAATCTGTCCTGGCAAGTGTTAAAACCAAACCACAGAAGAGCTTATTTACTAGGAAGCAGAGACAAGAACAAGTCACAGCAAGTTGTTCTAACCAATCAGAGTCCCCAGGTTCACATGTCCTGCTAAAAAGCCATGGAAGATCCTTACGTGGTTGGATTAGTGGCTCTCTCTGGCAGGAGGAGGAGCCGAGCAGGAGTGTTCAATGCTCACTTACTAGCATCCACAATTCTCAAAGCACCCCAAAGTGCTGTAATGTGTGAGTTTCTCTCCAACAGCAAGAACCTCACCTGTAAAGGGATTCCTCCTCTATCCCAGATGTGACAATAGTACACGTCTGAACAGAAGTACAAGATATTTTGCTACTTTTGCTAAGGGAAATTAAAGTGGGGGGAGGGGTTGGGTGAACAGTTCCCCAAAAAGTGTTTAGCACACACTTTCACTTTCTCTGCTGTATCCATTCCAAACTATGACACACAGACTCCCTGGGTTCATATACAAGATGCTTACTCACTTGGACAAATCAGTGCCTCTTTTGCAGTGATGCTCTTATTACAGGCATAGCACATGGTCATGCCAGAAACTGTAATGGAAGTGAAGAGGTGCCCATTGGTGTAGCGGGCGTCTTTATCTTTGCCTTCCTTCATCCTTTCTTTTTCTTTGTTCTGCAGAAAGAAAGAGAGAGGGGGTTGCTTGTTAACAGGAGAGAAGCCACTCTGTGAACAAGGTCCTCTTGACCAGAGGAGCTGGATTCTGACTTCCCCCACCACCCCAACACATTCTGCTCCAGCACTTACATAGGGCAGGGCACAGAGATGGGTGCATGTCACATTTAATACCACAGAGATTACATAATTTTAAAAAATCACATTTAATTCTGTGGATACATTTTAATGCAGACACACACACACACACACAAACACACTTGGGGGAGTACACAAAATCTTAAGCTCTGTGGCTGTATGAAGTATCAACAGGCCAAAATGAAAACATTTTGTTCTCTTTTCTCCCTGAGAGCATTTGAGGTCAGAAATATTGAAATCATTTTTGTTGCTACCTTCCTTATCTATCTGATATCCAAAATTTTCTGTAGCATAATTTTTCTTATATATAGTCTCACTTGAGAGCAATGCTACTAAAAAAGATTTCAATCCAAGATCATGCTTACCGTTCCCGTTTTGCATGGAAAGAATTGGCTGCTGAATATAAAGCTGTACAGTAAAAGGCACCGGACCTACCAAATTACAAGGATCTCTAAGTTCATCAGCATCAACCCACTGCCCAAAGCAAGGACCTTCCCAGCCATTCTATTCCATTCCACATCAATTTATGGAATTCAGAACAAAGCCAAAAAGCTGGGTAGCTTCTGCAGATGACTCAAATAAGCAAGCCAAAATGCAAATATATTTTTTAAAAACAACAGTTGAATGCTTAGTGGAAGCATTCCACCTATCTATGATAAGTAAAAGTTAATTAGGCTTGTAAATGCGCCTGCTGGTTCGCACATTTGATGACTGGAACAAGTAAGTTAAGCTATAAATACTTTTTAAAAAATCAATGAAACTTTAAGTGGAAACAAGTCACTTAAGAAAATTCATTAGCCATAATTCCCTCCTCACTCTGACCCCACTCGGGATGGTCTCTTCTTCACACCCAAACACCAGATGAAAGAGCACATTCTACTTTCCCCCAACAGACCTTTCCCACATTCCCTCTCTGGCTCAGCTGCTGTCCATTCCTGCTCATCCCTGGGCCAGGGGGGTCCCGAGGGGGTCTTGAAATTCCAAGCTGCAGTTGCCTCTCATAAACTGTTGGATAGCTCATCCTATCTTGCAGGAGGATCTGACTGAATCATCTGAAAACCTCCTTTCTGACTAAACAACGTCCCTGAGAGCAGAAAAGAAAACCAACACTATGTTGAGTTGGTTTGGAAAGCCCAGATTGAGGAGATGCAATGAGGAGGTGGAGAGAAAAGAAGAGGAGGGGAAAAAAGACACCCAGGCAGTTCATCTTTTCCTGTACCTCTCTGCTTCCAATAACCATGACAACCATGTGTCTGACTGAGAAATTCCACCACCATCTCTGTCATACATGCCTCAGCACCGAACTATCTGAACCAAACTTCTGCCAATCTGGGGCCCTCCAGATATGCTGGCTGGGAACTTTGGGAGTTGTAGTCCCAAGATATCTAAAAGGAGCCAGATTGGGAAAGGCTCATTAAAGAGTTGGGAAGGAGGATTCTCCTACCAATCTGCACTTTTATAAAATTTAAGTTTAGCTTTTGTCCCATTTTTAAGCATGATGTAGGATTTAGGTACATGCGTCACCTATACCTGCTGAGCACAGGGGCTCCTGAAAGGCCTTTCCATTTCACAAAATGTGCAGATGAACTGAACTAGCTACATCTGACCCAACAAGCCATTTCCTGCACATTCTAATTCCATGTTTAGGAAGCTCTTGATTGTCACACCAAGGCTTAAACTGGGAGGCCCTGTATCTGAGTTACATGCAGAAGGGCTTCACCTTTGTGAATAGAGAGGTAATCCTTTGTGAAAACTTTGGAGTCACACTGTCTAGCATTGGGCCAGATGACCTAGTGGTCAGACTCTGTAGAAAGTCACTTTCTGTGGCTGCTACCAGGCAATCACTCTCTGGAGCCTGGGTTTTCCAAATTCACTGTAAAACACAGCCAGTCTAGATTCATACTCTACTCTACTCTACTCGCCATAGGAGCAAAACTGGTGAGAGAACTTTCTGCTCCTTCCCCCCACCCCTGATGCTCTTCCCAAGGGATTCCAGGTTGCTTACTTTTTTCCCTAAAAGGCAAAAAGGCTATAAGAAGTCCCCAGTCAAAGTAACAATGAGGCAACAATGGGGATAGAGTGTAAGGTGGTGCAACTGAAAGACTTTGCTGCAATATCAGTTAATTGTAAGGGACTCTTCTCTCTCAGAAAAATGGAACTACATCTGCATTTGGAAAAGCCCTAAATCCTAGTGTAGTTCTAGGATTGTAGTAGAACTAAGCACATGAGTCACTTGAGAATACCTATGCTCAGACTCAACCATGCCCTTCAAACACATAAAGGTATTAATAGAATAAACATCACTTCTTGCACCTGAAGGGGAGTATTTAGCTTTTGAACTGGTCAGAGACCAGACAGCCATGCTGGTGCAAACACCAACTCCAGGAATGGAGCTCAAGGGACTTAGCCCAGATCTGTATTTAGACCAGATCCATGGCTTTGACAGCTTGCAGACAGAGAAGCTGACTGGAACAGAGAGAAAGTTCAGGTATAAACGTTTCTGAAACCAGAAAGACCCAGTTGTCTCTTGGTCCACAACCAAACTGCAGTACTACTGCAAGTCACCATGAATTGTGCAAAGTGTTAGTTAGAAATGCCAGAAAATTAAATACCTATAAGCCCTGTGATCAGATTAGGACTCAGTAAAGTGAAGGGGTTGTCATAGCAGCCTCCCCTAAGAAAGAAGAAGCAAGACAAGGACTTCCTGTTGCCAAATATTTGAGCAATAATGCAGTCAAGAGGGTTGATTATTTTTGACTCAAGAGCTGACTTAGTGTCATGTGTCTCAGCAAATATGGGAGGGAGAGAGAAGGAAAAAAGAAGTTACACGGAACTACCCTTTTTAGAAGGGCTGCTGCAGCACAATCCACAGGAGGCCCAGCAAGCACAGCTGTGCACTGCAAGGCTTGTGAAGAGCTGACTGTTTGTCTTCCCTTCATGCCTGGCAACTGAAGACCTGAGGCTAGCAGCTTTAAAATCTTACTACTTTGGGGGATCTTTCCCATACTAAGAGGCTCGTCCTGAGTTGCAGAAGATTTTGCAAAAGTTCCCCAAACTCACACCCCTCCCCCCCACAACTGATATTCTGTCACAGATACAACGTTCAAGGGGAGGTTTGTTCACGTAGGCAAGCTTGTTCTACTTTGGTTGAGCAACTGGGATGAGCTTCCCAAATGGTCCCAGAGCTTCTTGGAAATCACTTGGACATTGCTTGGCTACATGGCCACATTATGTACAAACTGGGCAATTGTCACCATGACACTAAGTGACCGTTGTAACAAAAGTTTTACAATGGTGAGAAGCATCAAACCGGCCTGTAAGACAGAGCAGATGAGTGGGTGGTTGGGAGTTTCCTTAGCTGCAGAAACACAGCCAGGGAGATCAGGGAGTAGGGCTAGCAATGCCTGGTAGAGGCAGATTTTGGCTGTGGTTGGTGCTTCAGGGGTAGAACCTGGAGAATATACTGTTATGCAGAAACAGAGGGAATAATAAACACTGCAAATAAGCTACTTCAGCTCTATCTGATTGTGAGCTCTTATGCTGAGAGGAAGTCATTGCCTCAGGGAAGGTGGCCAAACACACTGAAGCGCTGAGATGAAGAGCTGGGTGGAGCTGTTCCAAGCCCAGCTCTGCAGCATCAAGAAAGCTGGGCAGCCTCTGCTGCACCCCTTTAGTATGTGTCATATTACTGGAGAACACCTTTTAATTAGTGAACAAGTGGGTAAGTTCAGCCAATAAGGACAGACCAGAAGATCTTCTAGCAGCTGCAGGAAACACCACGTAGCTACAGCTAAAGTATTTTCCTCACATTGCAAGGCCTGCTTTAGAGTCATGGTGACCTGCGGGAAAGAGGCAGCCCGCGCATCCTGTGGTCCCCTTAGTATCAGGCTGGGAGCTGTGCAACTTGGCTGGCACATGCATGGGCACTTACTCTTCTGGAGGGACTTCAACAGCAAGGGCACCACAAGTCACACTCCTTGTTCCCATCGGTGCCTCCCTGCTCAGTCTTTGAGGAGTCACTGGTAAGGGAGGCAGAAGTCCTGGATTGGAGAACCAAACTATGTTAAGCTAACCCAGAGTTAGCAACATGGTGGCTTTAAACTCCTTCCATCCTGCTTGCCAGCTTTCCTGGCCCCATCTGTTTTTTTTCCCCCAGGTTTGTTTCCATGGGAAGTTGGGCTAAGAAAAGCCAAGTCCCAGCTTTCAATTTCATCTCGATTTGGTAGAATGAAATTCTTGGAATTCTAGGGGGCCCTAGAAAATAAAAGTGGTTTGGCTACATAAAATGAGTGATTTGTGGAAATGGGCCTCCAGATGGAGAGAGGGAAAGTAAGAAGTGGCTACAATTTGGGGAAGGGAAATACAATATTTGGGGGTTCTAGAGAGGATTAGTAGTTGTTTTGCTATTGCCACAGCCAAAATGGCAGCTATTTTGTGCGAGGATCCTTAGCCACATCCCAAAGATTGCCTTCCCCTTGGCCTTATCCTGCTTCCCATCAAACAGCCTGAATATAAGCGGGTGGCTGGCTTCCTGCTTACCCATCCCCTGCTGGGACATTGGCTTGTTTTGATCAAAAGACAATTGTTAAAAGTTGCAGCGTGGGGAGGCTTACAATGCGAAGGAGTTCCTGCGCTCTGTGTTCCCTTTCCAAAAAAGATACAAGGTTTGTTGTAGAAAAGATGCCAAACTGGGTATCCACTCTCTCGGCCGAGGGCAACAGGGTGACAAAGGAGGCTTTGTGCCCAGTTGGAAGCCCTGGGACTTTTATCTTGATAGAGCAGCCATGGGCAGGCCTATCTCTCTTAGTGGAGAGAAGCTCTGGGACTCCAGAACATGACAGGAGGGCCTCAGCAAGACAAAC